GTGATTGGTCAAGTAAAACGAAGATGCTGTCATGGCGGACAAAAATGCTACAATGGATACCAACTAAGTTTCTTTTTGCATTTTTACGGTAGGTGTCGCATTGTCATTACTATTTACATTGGATTCTTATTTAATCGATGAAACATTTTTTGTTGAAATTATTGTAATTTATAAACAAATTAATTTTTTTATAAAAAAAATTTTTTAATAAATTTTTTAATGAAAAATGTTAGAAAAATATTTTATGACATATTTTTTTCAACGATTCAATAATTATGAATGTGTATGCATTTTAAATGAAGAGCTTATATATTGTCAAGCCAAAAAAGTATTATTGTGAAATGACAGAGTGACATTTACATCAGCGCCGTATATCGAATTAATTTCGCTTGGCATAGGGGGAAATATTTTGACAGATAGTACTCGATCCTTTCAGAGAAAATGACAAAGTGATGTTATTGTCCATTCGATAGAATGTTGCAAGCTTTTTCTTACAGTTTTCGAAGGGGATAGACATGATATCTGATTGGTTGTGATTTATTAGATTCAAAGGTTTATAATTACTGTCTACCCCTAGGATTGTTCTGTTCTTTTTTTACATTCTTCGATGATAATAATAATAAATTACTTGCTGAAGAAATTTCATGTGCACTTTTTAATTCATCGTTTGAATTCTTTCGGATTTAGAATTTCACTGTTGGAAAAAAGGTTTTCGCAAGTGCGTTGATTTGAAGGTATGACCGAAATTGGATGAGACATTTTATACCCAGCACTCATATTCCATCAAATTAACTGACAATGATGCCACTATTCATTTCGATTGAAAAAGTGAACGTGTTCGGATATGACATACAAACGATAGCAGCAACACCGACAACACTCGAATTTTAATTCACTCTCACGGGCTCAAGCCGACAATCAAAGTACTGAAAATCTCTCAGCAAAGGAGTTAAATTCAAGCATCCTGATATATCAGAGAATGATTCACATGTCAATGGAACAGAAGAATTTCAATGAGAGAAGGAATGCGGGCGTGTATATGGATGTGTAGATATCTGCGAGTTCTTGGTGTTGTATTTCGATCATTTCAAGTTAACCGGAAAGTTATTGAATTGCGAATTGCAAAGAAACCGATTTCCTTTGAGCATTTGACAACTTTCATTGAAAACAGAGCCATAGCACCAACAGTACGATATCACATAAGTATATATACCAAATAAACATAAAAAGGCAAAGAATTCGAGTAGTTAAAAACTGAAGTGTTACTGGTCATGATTTCTGCTTCTGCTTTACGTTTGAGCGATTGATAAATTCATGGCAAATGCAAACATCCACGCAAAATGGATAATTTCACACTTTTGGTTGACATGAAAAATTGCTGATTTCCTAAAAACTTTGTACTAAAAATAAATTTGAGACAGAATGACGATAACGAGGTTGTGATTCGAGAAATATTGGTTTGATAGAAGTTCCATTATAATGGTAGCGATATTTATTTAGATCTAAATGTAATTTTACTATCTTTTAGATCTAATTGATCAGCTTTCAACACATTTTATGGCTCATTTATTAAGTTTTTATGTAGAAACATTCGACGCGACAATCAATTCTTGTGCCTGTGTTGGATACAAATCTCAACTTTTACCGGCGATAATTTTAATTTCGGAATGAAAAATGGTCAAATTGCTTATGACATTTCCAATTTATTCTCAGTTATACATTGGAAGCAACAAATGTCTTACTAATGATAATTTCTTGAAATACAACTGTGAAATATATATATTAGATTCTCATGAATTGTCATTTTCAATTTTATACCCTCAGCTTTTCAAAAGCTATATATATATATATTAGGGTGGGTCAATTTGTAGGGGGCCGAAAAAATCTTCAAGTCCACATCGCGATTCTGGTTCTATGGGTCCTAACAAGCATTTTTGCCCAAGGAACCATATGTCTAAAATGAATTTCGACCCAGCCAATTTTTCTCTCAAGATATTTTCCAAAATATTTAAAAATCGACTTGGATGTTGTATGAAAAAGACAAAAACACATTATTTTTTCTCTAGCCAAATGTGTATGCGGGGGTTTTCGGGGTCGAGGAATCCATTTTTGACATTTATTCTGCGATATAATAACGTTTTGATACGATTTCCATACAAAAACTGTCAAAAATGATCGTTTTCTTCTTTTTTTTACAATTTTGTTTTTTTTGATGTCGATTTTATAATCGGATCAAAAAATTATGTTCTACAAAGTTGTTCAGAATGATGAGAGAAATTTTTTGGGTCAGCTGTCATAACCCCTCAACCCCTGATTTTTTTGACTTGATTAAATAAGTTCAATACTATGAGACTATGGGGTATTTTGTGAAAATTGGCTCGGAGGGCATCTTGAAAAAACACTTTCTAAAGGTTTTTTGGCATGCTGAAGCCGAATCTTTGGGTTTTAGGTAAAAAAATCAGGGGTTGAGGGGTTATGACCCCTGACCTCCCTAGGGGGGGGGGGTTTGGCGGGCAGCTGACCCAAAAAATTTATCTCATCATTCTGAACAACTTTGTAGAACATAATTTTTTGATCCGATTATAAAATCAACATCAACAAAAACAAAATTGTAAAAAAAAGAAGAAAACGATCATTTTTGCCAGTTTTTGTATGGAAATCGTATCAACCCGCGTGAACATAACAGACCACCGTACACTTTATCTACACTTTGCTCACACCTTCATTTTCATGTTTAGCGAGAGTGTGACGAAGGTGTAGCGAACGTATACAATACTCTTTCACACTTTCGTCAGACCTTTGCTTCTTTTAATGTATACAAAAAGAAATGAAGAGGAACATGCGGCGGAGAAGTACACATGCACAAACGTTATCTCTTTGTTCAAAAAATCATCTAATAGCCTACACATATACATACATACGAATATTCATGTTTAATTTAATGAACAATGTTTGTGTCAAATGACACAATTTTATTATGAAAATTATTTTTCAACAAATGCAAAAGTGTGAGAAGGGAGTCGAATAAAACTATACGAAGAGTGTGCGAAGAGCGTGTACACTCTTCGAAAAGAGTATTATACTGACTTGGGATCCAAGTCGATTTTTAAATATTTTGGAAAATATCTTGAGAGAAAAATTGGCTGGGTCGAAATTCATTTTAGACATATGGTTCCTTGGGCAAAAATGCTTGTTAGGACCCATAGAACCAGAATCGCGATGTGGACTTGAAGATTTTTTCGGCCTACAAATTGACCCACCCTAATATATATATTTTTATTCTAATGGAAATTAAGTTAAAAATCACAAAATACATACATTTGGTTCTGATTATATTGCTATGATGACGGTTCATAACAGACAATGACAGGCGAAAATTTGAAATACAGCCCATATTAAAGATGTCAAAATAAATTTTCAGTTTTCAACAAATAAAAGTAGTTTATGCATAATAATAAAAATTTAAGAAATAAATGCTCACATCCATCCATGGCTTTGCCGAATAAATTGACTTTTATTCTAGAACATTCTTTTTTTTATAAATTTAACTCAACAAACTCGATTCTCTTAGTACCTTCTCAGTAAATAAGTATTATAAGGTATAATATTTGAAACTAAATATTTAAATAGATTTTTTTATGTCATTTAATTTATTTCACAAACGTATCATGAGATGAATTGTTTTATTGATTTTGAACTTGAACTAGAAAAACATGTGTGCTAGTTAAGGCATTGAGAAGACAAAGTTCCAATTAAAAATATTAGCTTTGAAAGTTAAAAAGTAAAAATGCACATTTCAAGGTCAGGTTACATACAAACAAATATCAGAATGTCAAATTCAAAAATGTTTGCCATTGTAATTGGCTCACAAATTGTAATTGGTTTACAAATGGATTTTGAAAATATCCACGCGTTGAAAATCTGTAATGTATCAAATGTGTGTGTCCTATGTAAAGACTTCTTTTGTTGTTCTATTTACATAGAAATGATTTGCTGGCCTAAATTGCTACAAACAAAGTTATTTAACGTGGGTGAAAACTGCAATAAATTTTGTAAGAAAAAAGGCGACGGAGACGCGGAGACCAAGTTTGAATCTGTCTCTATGTGTTAAAAATTATATTCAATTTTTTTTGCATTGAATAGAGGAAATGTAAGTAATAAAAATAAAATTGAAAATGAGCATAAATAATGCGAAAAATACCGAGGATAGTTAATGCCGGAAAAAAGGATTGAGCACACTAGACAAAAGGAACCGGTTTACTTAATATTGAGCATGAAGTCGACGTTGGTGAGGTGAGGGTGACACGACATCCCACAAATAAATCAAGTAAATTTATGACTCTTACATTAGCTACACAATAAAAGCATATTGTAAATGTTCGCCTCGATTCAAACGGTTTCATGTTAGTAACCGATTTAGTGTCATCGATTGAGAACTGCGACGTTC